TTACTGATCAAAGCTGTGAGTACGGTTACCTTGAATATGGTAACCTCTGTGGAGCTATAGTAGCGTATTGATATTGAATTATAATGATAGAATGTACATGAATGAGCGATTTTGTGCTTGTTGTTGAGATAGCTTTATGAAAACGGCCATAACTCCTCAAGGAAGCGGAATTACTCAACAGATTATATGTTTTTCTGAAGGTAGATATTCCAGTGGATCGAACGGTGCGCAAATATTCATATGTTATCGGGCATTGGCTCGAATATGACAAACCGTATATCATTGAGAAAATAGCTGTATCTCCTCACTTAATGATAATTGCTCGGCAAAATATATAAATTTCTGAAGGTAGAGATTCTGAGCAATCGAATGATGCAAAGAAATTCACACGTTATCGGGCAAACCTGAGAGTACGGTTACCTTGAAGATGGTAACCTCTATAGAGCCACAGTAACGTATTACTATTGATCAATGGTGATAGAATGCATATGAATAATCGTCTTTGCGCTGGTTGCTGATTGATCTTTATGAAAATAGCCATATCTCCTGAAGAAAGCAGAATTGCTCGACAAAATATATGTTTTTATGAACCTAAAGGTTCCGCTGGATCGAATGATGTGCAGAAATTCATATGTTACTGGGCAAATCTGAGAGTACGGTAAGCTCGGATATGGTAACATCTATAGCACTGAGGAAATTGGCCGATGGAATTTCTGTTCCGGCTTCTTTTACACTTCAATCGCCGTCTAGAGGATTATATTCCATAGTGAAGATTCATTTCAGGGTACAGTTTTGAAAAGTGTGTGACGAATTTTCCTGAAACTTTTGAAGTTCGTGGAGAATTGAATTCTCTTTTCAATCGACTGCTTGACATTTGCCGATGGAATTTCTGTTTCCGCACTATTTCCACTTCAATCGCTCGCTAAGGCATTATTTTTCATAATGAAGATTCATTTTAGGTCGCAATGTGGAAAACTACGTGCTGAATTTTCCTGAAACTGTCTCAGTTTGTAAAGAATTGAATTCTCTTTTCAATGGATTGTTTGGCATTGGCCGATGGGATTTATTTTCCTATACTACATGGAATTCAGTTGATTACATCAGTTATATCTGACTGAGAATTCCGTGGTTAAATTTTTACCACTTGAGTAATGAGCCAATTCTTGTAGTGAGTGAGTCTTTGTCTGTACGTAAAAAATTTATTTTTCTTGCGAATGAGACTTCATGCATACGGTGAGGTCAGGTGTAGCGTTGAAATATGGCACATTCAACTGTCTCATCGACAAATTAATTCGCCTAGTAGGATCTCTTTGTGTGTGCTCTGCCTAATCATACCCTTTCAATTACCAAGTCGTCTTTTAGAAGCCGCGACGAGACAGTTTAGTGTTTTAGAATGATCTTTTAGCAAGTGTTAACAATCGCAATCTCGTTTCTGTTGCCAAAGCCATCTACTCACTCTATTTCCTCCCATTCTCTAACTATTTTTGCGATGTTTCCCTTTGCGTTTAAACAAATGATGATTTCAATTTTGCTCATTACTTTCTTGTTTCATTAAATATGGAGATGATGTGAATGGTTGTTGATTGGAAATTGATGCAAAATCCGAATGTTAACACTTTCTAAAAGAACATTTTAAAAGACTAAGCTGTCTTGTCAGATTCGCTGAGATTTTGATGATTTATGCAAATAATTTTCTCGTATCCGTGAATTGTTTCATTTTGAAAGCAGTTTATGTTCGTTGGTATCATTACTGTTGTCAAGTTTTTGAAGGTTTCTGTGTTTTCAGAGCAATGGGTGATCATTACGGCTTTTCGCTGACTACGTTCAGGTAAAGAATTATCCCATATATCCTTTAAATAAGCCATATGTAGAAAATTTTACAATATCTGAAATATTTCCTATTTATTATTCTTCGTCTTATTCAGTGCATCATTTCAGTCCATCCGGCAAGCTTATGCAAATTGAGTATGCGCTGAATGCCGTCAAAAATGGTCAGCCATCGGTCGGTTTGAGAGGTAATTTGATTGGTTCAGCTTTCAATTCGGTTGTAATTTACACAATTTTTGCTCTAAACGTTTTTTTAAATGATTTCTTCGTTCAGCATCTGATGGAGTTGTATTGGCAACGGAGAATAAAGCATCAATTCTGTATGAAGATCAAGCAAAAATTGAAAAGCTCAGTCGTCATATCGGATGTGTTTATAGCGGAATGGGACCTGATTATAGGTTAGTGTAAATGGTTGTTGTTATTTCATGAGAATATCATAGCATTTTTATTCTTTTAATTTCACTTATGATTGTTTTCGTGAAACTTTCGTCACTCATCAACGAGATATCACGTAGAAAATGTTATCGTGTCTGCTCAAGCGCTTCACGGTGGAGAGAATCGTTTTGTTGCTGGGCTGTAGAAGATTTGTGCATTTTTGAAGCTTGCAAGTGGTTCATTCTGGTATCCTTATTTCCACATTCCTCTATCAAACCACTGATACTCACCGTTATTAAATTATCGTTCAATGCAGTTTCACTGTTTGATATCGAGGAATGAGTTTCGTGTTAAGGTGACAGAAAATATAATGTTTCATTGAAGAATATTGGTGAAAAAAGGTCGCAAGATAGCAATGCAGTATGAATTGATGTACGGTGAAGAGATTCCAACCACACAATTGGTCACCAAGTTGGCTGCTGTTATGCAAGAATATACGCAATCCGGGTATGGATTTTGATTGAATAATTCTCGAAGTTCCTACGCAAGTGTTATTTGTGAAAACGTTGTTCATCGCGAGCATTTCAGTGGTGTTCGTCCGTTCGGCGTATCAATGTTAATCGCTGGCTGGGATAGTGAGCCAGGTAACGGAAGGCCTCTGTTGTTCCAGTGTGATCCATCGGTAAATTTCTTCTGAAGTTTGTTCGCGTTCCATAAATATTCACCTATCGATTGATTTATTGATCACAGTTGTTTCATTTGATTCATGTGTCAGTGATTGCTATGAACAAAACGATTGGAAGCAGAATAATTTTCGAAGACAGTGCAAAAATTACCGAAGAGATGCGGTGCGGTTTTAGTTGATGAATTTCAGCAAGATGTAAATCTATTGTCGTCCTCGTTGCACAAATATCCGCGTTCAGCAATTTTCCATCTCATAATGACTTCTTTTGTTGGTTTTTGAGAAATGGTTCGATAGTTCAGCAATTGTATTGCGCATTGACTATCCGATTTCATCCCCTTCCCCGTCAGAATGTACATTCTATATTTTTGCGGTGTATGATTTTGAACAAATATTTGCCTCACTTCAGGGTGCATATTTCGCGTGGAAAGCAACAGCGCTCGGAAAGAACGATGTGAACGCGAAAACATTTTTGGAGAAACGATTCAGTGATGCACTCGAATTAGATGACGGCATTCATACAGCATTATTGACGTTAAGAGAAAGTTTCGATGTGGGTATGACTGAAGATAACGTTGAAATCGCTATTTGTAATCGTAATGGGTTCCATCGACTCACCAAACAACAACTCAAAGACCACCTTGGAGCACTTTAATTCCATTCTGTTCTGATACTTCGATTTTGCGATCGTTGATTTTATATTGATTTCATAAATGTGTTAAACCTATTTTTGTTACTTTCTTTTAATTTATGGTGATTTGAAAATGTAATTCACAAAAGAGGAATAATGACAAACATTTACGTTTGACGGATGTGCTATTTTTCAAGTGATTGTTGTTCTTGAGGAAAAAAAGCAAAATGGGGTTGTTCAATCAGTGAATTTTATCAGTATGGAATTGTTGTTGTTAGCCTCCAATGTTATTCCAAATGGACAATTTTGTTACTAGCATGAAATTTTGATATATTTATTTTAATGTTGGTTGTATTCATTGTATGTGCTTTTGTGCATATATGCATGTTCGATTGATTGTTTCTTCCAGTGATGAAATTAATACTGCATTAAATTACCGAAAATGAAGTATTGTGTGCACAGTTCAGTGTAATCGCACCTTAGATTGATGAATTCTGGGTTGTCATGAAATTCTTGAAGCTACACAGATTCACCCAGCTCTGTCTGGTTGAAGGGAAATTAAAATGGAACTCACATTCAGATTCTAAGTATAGAATGTCCTACTTTCTTTATGTAGTTTAAAAAGATTCAAATCAAACAAAACAACCAGGAATTATGGTTTCGATAAGGTGCGTTCAATGTTCTCTGTCTGCACTACGGTTCTAATCTTATAAAGCACAATATATTTGCTGGAGAATGCTTCTGCTTGTGCTGACATGATTAAGAAATTTTATCGCACAATCAATAGGTCTTCATTCATATGAAATTGAAAAAAAATCACGTGGAATGGAAAAAAAATTGTCTGACATTGAAAATAATACGATTTGAAACACATAAATACAAATAAATGACTTCCAAGTGGACAATACTTGCAAATGGTAAATTCTTAATAATGCCACTTGTAATAAAAATAATGACATTATTACTAATAATAAGGATAATAATAATTGGAAAAACAGTGATGCAAATGAGAGTGTTGATGGTGGTGACAACAATAACACAAATATAATATTTACGATAATAAGGCGAGAAAAATGACCAAGTTATTGGAGATATCAAATGTTGCGAATAGTGATAGTGTTGGTGAAAGTATTAATAAGATAATTGAGGTTTCAGTGGTCGTCGTAAATCAAATGATAGTCGGCGTTAATAATGAAAAGCAAATAAAATGAGGATAGCATTATTTTGTTTTTACAAAGAGGTCCGTAAATAATGTGAAGATATATATTGCCATTTAATACCAACGATTTTATTGCGTATTTTGCAAAGAGTGAATTCAGAAAACCAATTCAAAGATGCTATTTGAATCAAAGCATATTAAATGGAGCAGAAAATCAGTAAAATTTCTTGCGTTAACAACTTTTTATGTATACTTTAACATTTCTATTTGAAAAGGGACATTATTTGAAAAGTTATCTTTTTGTGTATCTTTGACGGTTTATAATTGCAAATTATGTCTTCTTCGTCTCGGAAACAAACCGACGAAATTGGTCATACTAATGAACGGATGGATGATGTCTGATAAGCATTTAACCATCAGACGACGCAATGAAAGATCAATACAACGCGACCGAATTGGAATGATTGCAATGGAAAATTTCACGATATGCCTCATAATTTGGATTTTAAAGAGTTGCGTGCATTTTATGAAGTGCAACGCCAATGAAAATGTGTTGATATTCGTTTCTGAATGTTAACATTCGTACCAAGTATTATTACCTTACCCAAGTGGGAGAACATTATTCGACGAGTGGACGACAATAAACTGTTAAAGAATAAACGAATAGATTCTACCGAAACTATACCTTAGCTTAATGTTAGGTTAAATGGCATTAATGAAGTCGTAAAGTGTTTGCGATAATGAGCTTATCAGTGAGATGTTCTAAAACGCTCTGTTAAAATGCAATCTATTGTTTCTCATGTGATAAGTAGCTTTGATGCTGTCTCTTTCAAGCATTTTCATGTCCTTGTGACTTCAAGTCTCATAAAGACAATAATTTTCTGCCAATTTTGTGGGTGAATTCATCAGAAGAACAGTGATAGTCGTTGATTTCCAGAAAGATGACCATGTGAACACCGTATACTTCATTCCAAACCTTACTTATTGAAACTGAGATAGTAGAAGCTGTATATTTCAGAAACAATGAAAGATTAGCATATGGTCCAATCGCAAGTTTTGTTCTCAGCTTTCTGATAATGGTACGTCAAACGAATTCAAACCTATTGATCACATTCTGAACATGTTTACTGCACCCATCACGGAATCGAACTAAAAAGTTGTGTTGACTGCTGAAAGGTAATTAGATGTAAACTGTTTGTTTGACGCTGTCGAACAAACAATTCAGTTAGTCATTCGTGTTTCGATGCGAAGTAAAGTAATTAAGCATGAAGTGTAATATACGAACAAGAAGCGTTCCACGAAAATCGATATGTTCGTGCATGACGTCGTCGACTGCTTGGTTGCTTGGAGGCATAATGTGAGCGAGCAGTAAGAGTAGAATGAATCATAATAATGTTGAAAATGAATGGAACCGAAAGTATTACTTCTTCTCAATTCAACGCTAATCATTATTATATCATTTCTGACTGATTACTGGATCAACATCAGTTATCATATTAATAATGTTCCAACGCAATGTCACCTAACCAATTATGTTTATTATTCCACTCTACAATGCGCCTTACAGTATCGAATACTTATCACACAACATTCTAATCTTTTTCGACAATGTAATGATCTTACAGGTTACTCTATTTACTTCATTGCTGTGTGTGTGATTATTGTAATTATGATGTGATAGTATTATCATACTTTATCAGGTCGTATTCCATGACGAACTAGTGTTTTGCAAAAAGTTTTTACTATTAAATATCATTTACTTCTTTGACGGTAAGCAATTAATGACGGATTTCGATAAAAACAGTCAACGATTCAGCAATATATGAGTGTAAGATGGATTCATTAAATCTATTCGATCACCGTTTGTGTATTGAACGAAAGAGAATCAATTTGCTTGAGTTTTAATTCGAAACTCTTGGAAGGCATTGAAGAATTAATAGGCATGAAGATTTTTACCAATTCAAAGCTTTGAATTAAGTTATAAGATTAAAACAATCACTTAAGTAGGATAAAATACAATCCCAAAAGATAAGTGGAAGGAAGAGCAATCCATAAACCGCACAGTCGAAATCTTTCATTATAGTAGTGCAATAATATCATCAAAAGTTCTTACTGAATCGTGTTGTCAAACTTTAGATCAATAGCAATTCAACTATTCATTTCAACAGATAAATGCTATGAAATCGTAACTGATACATCGGAGACAATCCTCTTTAGATGAAGTCTTTCAATTAATATTAACACATTAAACTCATATATACGCTCATGATTTGATATTTGCTATTATAATGATAACAACTGAGTTGATTGAGTCTTTTGTTGAGGATATAAATGTGAATTGCAATCACTGAACCGTTTCGTTTCAGAGGGTATACGCGGTAATATTTCACGTTGGGGTCTATTGTATGCGCAAAGTTGTTCATCATTCATCTGGGATCGTAAGTGGCGATCGCCAGCGTGCAATCCGATAAATGACATACTGGGATTGGGTTTGGGCGCGTTGGGCTTATTCTTGTTACCGATTGGTATTTATTGCAGTCGGAATAATGAGAATACACTGAGAACTGCATTCGCACTCGGCGCTTCGACAGTGTCATTCGCTGGTGCGGTGGTTTTATCACTCATCAATATACATCAAATTAATGTGCAGCAGTCTGAGACAACGATGATCGATTCAATTGTGAGTTCATCTCATGTGACATTCAAAGATCCCTTTTGGTTTTCACTCACCGTTTCCAGAACAATAACAAATGAAAATTTGATTTCGTATACTGAATAAGTACTAGCAAGAAACCTAAGTCGTAGGTTGATGAGTGGGTTCATGCTGAACCAGGATGGAGTTTGCTGAGTGGTGCGTTGGGCTCGATACTGTTGGCCGTTTGTGCGTATCTGTACATGGCTGCCACCAAACGGAAACGATTTCGACAACGCAGTATGAGGAGACGACGGCAGATGCAAACCGCGATCATGTCCAGCTGTAAGCAGGAAGTGGCTCTGGCGATTCGTGCTAAGATGACTGTGATTTGATATTATTCATTCATACTGATATTATTGTCATTATTATCGTTACAGTCACATCTGTACAACAACCGTCGAGTGTAAAAACGTGTTCTGAGTTATGATTTTGATTGCTGCTAGATGATCGACTCTGATCAATCTCGACTGTGAGCTCATGATTACCATAAAGAAAAATCACAGTAGTCTCGTATTCCATCGTGGGTGTCGTATATTATTATACACAGTTACTGATGTGAAGTACGTTTATTGTTCATCATCATGTATTCCTCATTTCATTCCTCAGAACGACTTGACTACCAAAATGGTCGGATGATAAAATTGATCAGATATTATTGTTATGGAGTGTATTGCGCTCACACTTTGAATAAAGTTTATTGAGATGACGTACTGTAAAATGAAATACCATGAATAATCAAAGCCTTTCATTAACCAACTGTGACTTAGCTTTGTTTGACATTTGTTCGAAACCTTTCACATTTATGTTTACTGAATGAATGCTCAGCAATCACCGCCATGAGAGATAGTTTGCTAGACAATTTCATTTCCCTTAGAACTGATTTTAAATTCTCTTCTTGTCCTCTCTTCAAACTTTCACAATGTATTGAATTCAATGGACGAACGCTCAAATCTCTCTATAATTCGTTGATTCATCTTTATAAGGCATGCATCCAAATGATTCACTCATGTTCCTCCTTCATTTATCAGCACCTCAGTTCTTCTTTCGTAACCTTTGAACCTCATAACAGTTGTTCTTTAATCAACTTTGCAATCTCCTACAGCTTTCAAATGAGCATCGGTTCTCTTTCTTCGGGTTGTGAGAAATTTTACGAACTCCAAATCAGCGAATTTTATCGTCCACCCATAAATTCATTAACAATAAGCTATTATATCTGTCAAGATCGTTGTAATTTATTAAACACGCTTGCAATTAGGAACAGTTGACGATCATAAGCAATTGCAAATCTGTTCACACACGACACTTTTAAATATCCCCATTTTAATTCGCTCTGCACACAGATACTAAGTAACAGGCTGAATTTATCCGGTCTCTTTATGAAATATGAACAATCACGTGATATTAGTCAATCACCCGCCGATTCTGATGCTGAATGCGACACTTCATTAATAAATCCTTCCCTTCCTCATCACTTCACACCATTACACCAATGCATTCTCGAATCTCATTTGGTTTTAACGGATAATCAGAAACTACTGATCGAACACAGTAAATAATGCTAACTTCCGGGAAGAAAAACATTTATTCACTGGTATTTACAGAAACAACAGTAACGCAAAGTCGATAGTCATATACAGATACACATCAACATTAATTCCCAAACCACTTTTTCTTTAGAATATTCACAATCAGTTTTTTTTGAGCGAAAGACAGCCAATTCTGACAGAAAGCGAATTCGTTTAGATCTACTTTATTGATGAACCTTTCTGAACAATGTTAAGTGTTCGGTACGATATACCAAACGATCAATTCACATAATCATGAGAGTTACCGAAGAACGCATTTCAATGAGAACAAAACTGTACATAGACAAAATTTTTTAAAGAGACGAAATGAAGTTGAATTATCTAAATCAGTTCACCGATATGTACAATATTCAAAACAAAATCATTATCATATCACAATTCAAGATGATAAAACACAGAGCATTGACTGGCCCAATGCCTCCTTCTTCACAAATTTCAGAACATTTTTTTCGCCTTTTTGTTTGGATCGTCCTCTTTTTGATCCTTCTGAAAGAATTCAAAAGAGAAATAAAACTCAAAACAAGCGCAGCTATCAAGCGCTGCTCAAAGTGAATATTCCACGGCTTCAAATGCAGTTCATATAAGCGATTAACTTCAGATTATCTATGTTGCGAGAATTGTACAAATAAAAAAAAGAAAAAACGGTGATACAAAATCCTCGATTTCGAAAGTGCGACACGAAAATCAGCCCGACGTTTCAATTCAAATTACCGACAACTAGACAAAACCCATATTAAAGTCGCATTTAACGATTACTGCAAGGAAGTCAAAACAAACCTTTTTCTTCTTATCTTTCTTTTTCTTCTTCTGCCTTTTGTCTTTATCATCACCGCGATGCCGTTTATACTTTCGTTCCATATCCAAATCTATGCAAATTATTATAATTTTTATGAGAGTTAATTTCATTCAGTGATAAACTTCCTCGAACTATTGCCGTTGGCTCAGACAGCGACGATCCGATGACAGAAATATCAATGAACTTTAAAAAAGAGTAAACAACCACAACAACAAAAGACATCTCTTACCATCTAAATCATCAAGACTACGTTTGAATTTCTTTCGTCGTTTACTCTCATCGCCATTCTCATCCAAATTCGCACCATTATCCAAATGATCATCGGCGTGTTTATCGAAATATCTACAAATTATACGAACAATTCATGTTATGATTAAATTAAAAACAAACACAATCACTTCATCTGAACAGAATCGGCGAAATTATTCGAAACGATGATCAACAGAATGTCGAACCTATATGGCTCGGGAACAGCGCCAGGTGTCANTTCATTAAAAATTACTTGTCAGTGAATATTTTCAGCACTGAAGTACGTGCAAACAAAACAACAACAATAATAATACCTAAATTCGAGTGATGAATCAAAATTAAAATTTCCGACGAGATGTGGTAGAAATGAATTCAAATCTTCACGCATCTTCTTCGATCCGCAGAAACGATGGTACGCCGAACTCATATCGTACTCGGCCAGGAGATCGTGACTTCCAAGAAGCATACTTTGTTCTGCAAAAAGACGACAATCAAACACTAATAATAACTTGCAGCACCTTACTCAACAGCAAAATTTACGTGCCATTATGCAAATTGCCAAACAAAAATCGGTCTAAAATTGAATATGCTCATCGATATGCTCACAGATACAATCGACTGTAACTGGATGAGTTTCGCAGTTCACAGTCCATCATAAAGTAATGGTCATTAGACGATTGCGAACAAACAGAACTGATGTTATTGATAACGGATTAATAAGCCTTTTATAAGGAAAGTAAGACAGAATTCATAAGTAAAATAACTGACGAGGTAATTCAGGTTTCATGAGGTGAAACGGGCAAACCAAAGAGAGCTGTGAGTATCCCCCTTTCAAGGAAATTTTTGTACGTAACGAACCCGATGAGGCAATACCTCCAGATGAAGGATCCATCTGATCTGAAAATGGTCCAAATTTACTTGACTCTTGTGCATTCTTGAAAGATAACATACGACGACGGAACGTCAAAATAACGGCGGATGAGTTGAGCTCCATTCACATCCTAGATTTAGACTTGATGGGGAGTAACGTTGAAACTGACCAGGTTCAAGAGTATAATCGCATTTTGCGATCCTCATCGAAAGTGTCAAAAACTCACTGGCAACGAATCGCACCCCATGCGATATTTACAATAAAGAGAATAATAAAGATAAGCTTAAAATAAAATGACATAATAAACAAGCAATGACCAAATTAATCCCTTAATAAACTTCAATTATATCGTTCCAAAGATCACCATTCATCAACCAAATACGATTGATTGTTCATTCTAAAACGGGGAATATTTCGGTGATCGTAACAATAACGGTACCAAGTCTAAGTAGAAATCTAACTAAAATAGTTTCAGATAAATGGTAAGGCTTTTATGACCAATCTCAACCCATTTTTAGTTCATCAGATATTGAATATATAATGGATTTTATTTACAAATTCAAAAGATCCACTGAACAAAACCAAAATAAGCAATCGTAAACGTAACAGATATTCAAAAAAAGCAATTCAACAAGCATTCATTTAGCAACATGAAAATGAATGACGAAATATCAACAGTTTAATTTAAAATATCCCATCTCCAATACAAAAATCGTTACATACGCTACAAACAAGAACAATTTCCTCTAAAAATCCATCAATATATGCAAAGTCGTTTCCACATTCATCCTTTCATATCATCATGAATCAATAATGCTATTTCAAACTCTACTTTGTGTGCAATGTCATCATCAAAACAACTTATTTGATCACAATTGAGCAAAACAAAATGAACATTCGAAAATTTCGCTACCGCGCTCTATCTCATTGAACTGAGCAGAAATACCCTAATCTCAATGACTAGACTAGACCGCAAGCATTTCAAAGTCAATTGCAAACAACTCGTTCACAAACTTAAAAAGAGTCGATCACTCCAGACATCATCATTTCGTTAACATCTTATGCAAAATGAAGATTATTTAAATGGAACTTCTGCAGCATAGATTCACTCTAAAAGAGGAATGAAGACATTCAAAGAATGAAATGGATAAGATTACTGGAAGAGAATACTATCAGTTATACTCATATATGAATAAATCAACAGTAATCAATTTTCTTTCAACGTTTCTGATCACCAAGATCCTCAATAGAACCTTCGCCAATGATTGGCCATTTTTCGGTGATAAGATTGAATAAATCGTCTTTGACATCTCCTTGAATGACAATCTCGTCTGCACCCGTAACTGATGAACCACATGCGAAACGACCAGCAAAGAATTTAGCGGCTGCTTTCAAATCAACATCTACAAATATCAAATCCTGATGACGATGATGCATAATAACAATATCAATGGTTATTTCTTTTAAAGTATTAACATTCAACAGCAAATGATAATAATTCAAATGAATGACCTCATATTCTCTAAGTGTCAAACAAGCACGTAAAACACACACTCAACCACTACCGAGTGCTATCTATCAACATTTCGTGCTCAAACCACAATAACATATTACTCAAACATACCGAATGTACCAAGTCCTTTGATAACGGTCATAGACTTGTTCTTTCCGCGAGGAGCCCTTTGCAACGTTACTTTCGAAGGTGTATTCGTTTTTTTCTTTGTGCTAATCGTCTTTTCACCCGTAGGTTTCAAACCCTTAAATTGACTCATTTGGTTTGTTGTGCATGTTCACCAATCAAAATAAAAACCAAATTAGCAGAAGCAGCACAATCGAACAGATTCGAGGTGAAATAGTTAGAGATTGGTAGAAACGTTTTAATATTTCAGTTTACATAATGTTTTGCTCTCACATAAGTTAGACTGATAAACTGTGTGAATGAAATTATAATATAAAGGCATAAAAAAATTAAATTGGATAAAGATATCCGTGACAACTGTAAGCATGTGAAACGAACCAACCTTACCACCTCGCTTCTGATGCTTCTTCTGTGCATCTGCATCCTCCCCATCATCATTATCATTAATTTCTAATTTATCCAATCCACTAACTTCGTTCTTCTCCAGCCATTTACGACATCGTTCCGTTATTCCACTATATTCACAATATTCTAATGGCATTGAGCATTCTTAAACAATAACTCTCTTTAATCAAAGTATTTAATAATATTAATGTTCTTTAAACTTATTGCATAAGTTCCATCCAAATTTTGGATAAGTAATTCAATATAAGTATAACATATATTTTATATTCAATATAGTAATATTCAATATAGAACAACACACAGAATACATTATAAATGTGACTGAGTCTAAAACAAAAAGCTTTCCATTCTTTAAGATTTTAGGTTTTTTCAGAACTGACTTCACAGTTTTTATGGATATGATGCCATAGAAGATGCAGCTCACTGGTGCATAAACTGGACGCCTAACCAAACATTCTAAGAATGCCACTCAAAGTAATTACCTCCACAATATCGAACAACAATCGGGTATTTGATATTCGGATCAAAGCCATTCTCGCAAATTGGCTTCTTCTCGTCTACTTCAGCGATATCCTTCTGTTCCACCTCTGCCGTACTCATCACTTGCTAATTACTATAATCAACATAATGTATTAATGAAAACAAACGGCTTAAAACACGCAAATAGTCTCCACGATAAATATATCGTACTTCCCCTTTGTGATCATTCTAGTAACATCTGCTCGGCGAAAATATGCATGAAAATCGCGGAACCAATTATCAATAGGAGAAATGAATTGGTTCGACCTAATCTGCGCACACAAATGTCGAATTCAATAGAAAAGGTGGGTTTGTGAGGAAATATCGTCAAATCTGCTGAAAAGCTTGCTATAATTATATGAGGATGACCTGCCAAATCGCTCATTCCGTTGCATTTGCACTGAAAAGCTAACTGAACTGAAACTGAAAGGATGAGAAATAGATACAATACAGATTCTTCAGAGAATCATGAATGAGAGCGAATCAATGATGCGGCAGAAGTGAATGAGAAAACTATCACCACACAGTGGGATTGTAATGCAGTAANGATTCACTCTCATTCATATTTATCTTCTGAATCTTCACTCTATTCACTTCTTCACCTCACCTCCTCGTTACGTTCAGATCTACAGCAGAACTGATACGTGTAGAATGAGTTGCCACACCGTGAAATGACTGTCCATGTGCAAGAAATTCATCGCCTACCTTAAGCTAAGAGTGAGACCTTATGTAACCTAGGCTTATCTATGGAATCTTCAATATTCCACTTTATTTACAAGGATGGATACAGGTCTGATCTGTGTCACAGCAATGCTCCAAATCACATCTATGCTAAAATACGTTTTCGTCATAGCCATTCCACAGCCCATAACTTCCTTCAAATCGTCATGACTCCGCAAAATAACGTGCAGCTCGTAACCAGCACTTTAAACTATGGAACATTTCAGAAGAACATAGGCAAAATCTTTCTAATAAAATTCCCAGAATCCGTTGACGCAACTATCGGAGCTGCGAAATCACTTTAACCAGTCTTTTTCTGATCATTCAATCGGTACAACTCATGGACTTGGCCATGGAAATTTATTTATTTTGTATGATATGGCAGGGCCTGATCAAGCAAAATGGCTTGCTTCTCTGGTGAACATATTCCATCCTGATCTCCCTGATTTGATCAATGTTACCATAGGATAAACGAATTCACACATTGCATCTCAGCCGCTGACTACATCCACTACCAAGGTTGGCTAAGGTTTCCGACTTTCGAATTCTGATCCAAATCGCGGGACTGAGGTTCCGAAAAATCCCGAGATTTTAAGATTTGATTGTTTTTTTAAACTTTTAACCTGTAGGTTTCAAACCTTACGTTGGTTCATTTGGTTTGTGCATTTTCACTACGAATCAATTGAGTATTCAGATAAAAGTATTTATTTGATGGTTGATAAAGGCCTTCAGAAACAGATCATACTCACTTAAAGTGGAGCACAGACATTTTGAGTTTCAGACTCTGACAATGAACGCAAACAACAATTTGAATATTTGCTCGTCACAACGGTTATATAACCAAATAACGAACTCGTCC